TCGACAGGATATTCAAAATGGCTGATCATGCATCAAACACGGGAACGGTTTGATTTACCGGCTTCTCGGCAATTCTGTCGAGTTTACCTGTGTAATTTATGGACGGGATGGTTGTGAACGCCATCCCTACATGGTCTTACACTCCACTGAAACGTACATTTCCATCGGAGCACCCGTTCTTTCAGGTACGTAAGTTTAGTACAGAGTAACAGAGAGGGGTCGACGGTACAGGCGTTGGAATTGTGTCGTTTAACAAAATTCCACAAACTTCAGTTGATAAGTTGATAAGAATTTCATCTTGCATACGTGAAGGAAAGTATACATGTATTTGTGTTAAATTTAAGCTTCACCTTGCATGTACATGTACAGTATAAGCTTACATGTATGTCGAGGATCATTTAGCTGTAAGTCGAGGAATGGCAAGTCTCTAACTGTCAGGCTGAGATGACAGATTTGTAGAATTTACTGATAGCTGATAAATGGGCCAAAATTTTAACTGATAGCTGAAAAACTACCGAACATTTAACTTGTAACTGAGGTTACAGCATCCCCATACACACCCCTCAATGTACATACACTCAGAGCATGCAGACATGATATGGATCGAAGGAATATACATGTAGGTTGCGTTTTCACTAGGCCGATTAACTAGCTGAACATTCTTTCTAGGTGTTCGTTTACAGACCAACATTTGCTAGTTAAACATGACATCTGTTTTCACTGGAAATTTAACCAAGAATTTAACCTGCTGACTCAGAAGATTCAAATTACAAAACCGCCCAACTTTCAAAAATGGCTGAGAGAGGAAGCGCTTTTTTTTACCTGTAGCTGGTGACGCCTACATGTAACTAGCCTGTTTTACAGTCACCGGCCTCCCCAAAAGAAAAAATCAGAGAGGGCACCTGTGTGTTACCATTGACTGATAATCAAGTTCAAGGCCATGTGATTTTTCACAGAATGTATGGAAAATGACCTGATAGGTTGATTAATTGTCTGTGATTAAAAGAAGTGTAACATTTTAAAATTGTGGCTATTTAGAGAAGTTCAGCAACACTGTGCATTATTTCAGTTGTTGTTTGTTCCATAGGAAGGAGAGTTATTTTGCAATGTGTTAAGGCAACAGTTGGATAATAGCGAAGAAGTTGATAACCTTATCCAAAGGCAAGTTTTAACTTTTCATGTAGAACATCTCCAAATTTTGTGTAAATTGTGCATCGTGTACTGTACTTGCACTGTGTTTTGATAGTACGCGTATTAATGAAGCTTGTTTTGTTTGATTGTAGAGCTGACTTCAAGTGTGATATTCCTGGTTGTGGAGAATGGTTTTCTAGTGTACCAAGGTAGGAAAAAGTGTAATTTAATACAATATTGATAATAAATTGTATAAAAACACTCAGATCTTTCATACAAACTTCCTTGTTACTTGAGTGGTGTATGGAAGTTGTCAGTAAATACTTGTACATTTAAGTTTATATGAAGGAAGAAGTAGTGCAAATTATTTTCTTCTCAGTCTTCAAAAGATTGTTATAATAATAATAATAATAAGAAGAAGAAGAAGAAGAAGAAGAAGAAGAATGATGATGATGATGATGATAATGATAATAATTAAAAAAGAAAAGCATTTGTAACTATTGATAGAGTGGCCCGCCTAGACTAGCATAGCTATCCGTGGGCCAGTCCAACTGTAAAATGAACATTTATTAAGAAATAAAAATTGATTGATTGATTGAATGATTTTCATGGAATTGCTATGTGCATACACAAATGGAGGTCTGCATTGAACAACAATCATTTACTTGATTCATATCTTTGCAAAAACATTACTACTTCATCACCGTGTTTGGATATCTTATCCTTATTAGCAATTCTAGATGACCGTTTGCAATTTTATCTGTGCATGCTTTTTCCAAAGTTAAACTTTTGATTGAGAAGCCATATCAAGCATTTTAGGCAGTGTTTCAGCACGTGTCCAAACAATTTGAAGTTTGCAAAAAATACTCTGCCACGCATCATATGTCAATGTTCTTCTTGTTTTTGAAAATAAGGTTAAACACGGTCTCTCATGGTTGAGCCTGTACATGTACATGTAACTTTTTTGTCAGTTAATTACACAACATTCCATTTGCTGTCAGTGTTTATATACTTCCATTTGCGATGCTCCTAGCTACGAGGCACACTACAACAGCTTACATCGTCACACCTGTCAAAAATGTCAGCGGTCATTTCCGTCAACTCACCTGTTAGAGATTCATGTGCTGGAGAACCATGATACGTTATTTTCAATGATAGCCACAAGGAAGAATCTGGTAGGTATTCAACTGGTAGATATAGATGCTTTGCATGTTTGATCGGAAGCACACTGTACAGGAGATACGGTGGCCTCATCGTTAGTGCGCTAGACTCTGGATTGAGCAGTCCAGGTTTGAGCCCTGGCTGGGAACATTGTGTTGTGTTCTTGGGCAAGACACTTTACTCTCACAGTACGTCTCTCCACCCAGGTTTACAAAAATGGGTGCTGGCAATTTAATGCTGGGGGTAACCCTGTGATGGACTAGCATCCAATCCAGGGGGGAGTAGAAATACTACTTGTTGCTTTATGCTGCGGAAACCAGAGATAAGCACCGACTTGATGGGCCACTTGGTTCGTATGCGCTAGACTAGATACTTAACCTATTACACTGTACACTGCAAACATTTTTTATCTTAGACTACAAAAATTATTGTCATAGGGGTAATTAAGACATGTTTCAAATGTCCTACAACATTTTTTGTGGTGTTCATGATAGTCACAACTTGTTCAAGTAACTTTCGTTCTTATCTCTTTCTGATTAAAATTGACAACTAGTACAGATGCCTTGTGGAGAGTTGTCCTGACAGATTTTCAAGTGACAAAGAGAGAAAGGTAACTGTATCTATAGAAACATCCTTGGAATCGTTTACATAGACATAACACTCTCACTCGCTCTAAAATATAAATAACGTACATGACTTGTATGAATTCATTCAAATATTTGACCTGCAGAATGAAGACTTAGTATTATTATAACAAGACCATTGCTGCAGTTAAATACACAATTTAAGTAGTTGTGATAAAGCCTAAAAAAAAATTAGGCTTGAAGGGGATTCAAACCCATTACCTTGCAGTACCGGTGTTGATACTGACATTTGCTGGATGGTGTGACAGGTCTTGTACATGTGCTACATGTGCATGCTGCAACTATTATAGAACTTTACATGCAGACCGAAATACAAAAGAATAAATTAATTTTAATTTTGATGTAGTGTTATTATATCCCTTGTGTCATTCAGTAGTGGTGGTCCATTTATACGCATGATTGTATATTTTCAATGTACCTGGACGAAAGTAGTAGAAATCAGTAATTTAAGAATCCTTTAGTAAATAATACATGACTTGTTTATATTTAATTTAATGTTGTTTCTGTAAATAGGATCATTTAATTTCCTTCCACAAGTACCCTTCTGACTTCAGATTCAACCGTCCAAGCAGACAACAGCGGAAAAGCAAAAGGTTTCTTTAATTATAAACCTGACAATAATAAAAGTTATTATTGTTACTATATTATTACTAATTTTATTATTGTATATGCATGTATACATACATGTACAAATGAATTATCTGACTTTCTTTTCTTCTTTTAAATTGTCAGAGATGAGCTCAATGACTGTTCCCACATTTTCTTATTATCTAAAACATTACCTACATGTAGGCATTGTTTTATTACTAGGAGAATATCAGCCAAGGTCTTGATAGAAATAACCTTGCTGCCCTCTGTCTGTACAACAAAAGTCAGGCCAAAGGCCAATTTTCTATGAGTATTCCTGAGCAAGCTTAATTTACAAGATGTACATGTTCATTATATGACTGAAAAATTAATCTTTGGACAAAATCCCACAATCATGGATTGAAATTCAGAACAACAACAACAACAGCTTTATATATCCCTTATTTTGAGAAGATGTTATAAGTAAATTTCAACTAGTGCACAAGTCTGATTCAGAACTCACTTGAGGCAGCACTTACTCAATTTCTTTTGTTTCCCAAAAAAGAAGGAAAAGAAACTTCATAGAAAAAGAAGTCAGAATCTTTTACATACAGAAGGAATTCCTTTAGGTGGATATCATTATAATTATAACATCCCTACCTCCCCATAACAGCCACTTTCCTCCGTAGAAGGAGAAGTAGTGGAATTATTCGTTGAAAACAACACCAAAACACCTGACTGTGTTCTTTTCCATGAGAACTATTTCAAGATGTTGATGTGATTTGGTTCCATTCCACCTTACAAAAAAATCAAATGACCCCAGCCTGGGCCCAGACTCAAATTCCCAACAGTGGGGATTAAACCATCAAAGTCAAATGCCCCACATATACTCGGTGNCCCCCCTTGAGCTTAACATTGATAGACGCATAACACCTTTGTCTTAATATAATCTGACAAGAAAAACATTTTCATGTGCAAATTTTGTCTCTTAGTACATGCAACAGACAGTCTGCCGATGAAGTGATGGATACATCACATATACCCCAGGTGAAGTTACTACACAGTCTGATATGATTTATTATCGATGTATTTTTCTGGGTAAATAATTATGGACTCCAAATTCAAAGTACAGTGTTCGGTACCCTTGGCTAGCAATGTGGAAATAGTATTTCCACATACCCCAATCATTTCAATACCATTATTTATTTACATGTATATTATTGATCACAATTCATAAAAGACATAAAGTACATATGTATATATATGAGCTGTGAGCTTACAGATCTTGAAGGTTTACCAAGTCTAATTGTGCTTGCCTAATTAATTACTGTAAGTTTCCAAATTCAGTTTTAATTCCTGTGTCAAAAAACAAAAGCAACATTTGAAATCTGTAATGTGTAAGATATGATAATGAATTTCAACTTTATTTTTTGTCTGTGAGCTCTTAAAAACAATGTTAATATTGAATGAGAGGATAGCCTGCGTAGCAGATGTTTCCTTTTCCAGGAAGGGAGAGTGAACAAGCGAGCGAGCAAGCAGGCAAGTGAAGGAGCACACCTGGGGTGAGAAAAAAATTGGGAGAAGTGGGGAGGGGGTGAGCGAGAAGGGGGAGGGAACCCGCTCCTCGTGTTCACTTATTTTTTGCACTCGCTCGCAGTTTTGTTCCCTTTGTTTGCTTTTTTCGAAAAGCCTGCTACGCAGGCTAATGAGAAGAGGGTGACGTGGATTTTCAGTGTTTGACATCATTATATAGTGATTTTCATCATTATATAGGGGACACAACATATATTATTGTACAATTCTATATTATTTGCATATATTATTGCACAATGTGTAGGTTTGTCTCAACTGGATTATTTGAAGTACCGGTAAATTATGCACAATATAGTATAGAGTGGTTTTCAGTTGAGAACCAAAAGTAATCAGGTAGTTAATTTGTTTTTGGTTTTGTTTTTACTACGGTTTGAGATTGGCAGAGTAATCTAATTGGCAAGCAATTGGATTTCGTTTTACAATGTTAACTCAATTGAAAACTGCTCAATCTGTGGTCCACATGCTGCTTTACCAATTATACATTAATTACAAGTTTACCTAATGATTCATGAGCACATGCCACACTTCACACAGGTATCTTGGACAAAGTAATATTATTGTGTCTGTTCTTGTAGGCAGCTGAGTCCACAGCCAACACCACACCAAAACAGAGGTAACATGGAGTCTAAAACAATTTACCAGAATTTCTATTTACAGTGTACTTGCTTTTGGCAGCCTACTACATTATGACAAAACACAGTTACAAATGTTGGTTGGGGCCCCAAATTTTTGAGAACTATGTGCTTTCAGGATTGAAATGATTTTCCTTATTATCATTGTAGTACAGAAACCGGAAACAAGTACCAGCCTGAGAGGACTGTTTAATTACCTTATGCCCTTTGTCATTCCTTGACATTTCAATAAGAATAATTTATTAATAGTCATTAATTGTACTGAGTTGTAATTTTTAATTGTTTCTATTTCCAGGTTGCCAAGAACAATATGTTTTGGTAGAGGATCAACCAAGGTATTCCAAAGAAACTTTCAAAAAAAGAGCAAGA